ATTGTAGTGAACATATGAAGTATGTCATGATGTATTATTATTGTTACTACTTTTAAAAAAAATGTGGGTTGTGGTAAAAATTTTGGAACCACTGCTTTAGCTCATCACAGTCTAGTTTCAGTCAACCCATCAGCCTGGCTTGTGCCACACGTGAACGTTTTAACCGTACTGGCCTGTCCATTCCCAAATGTGTCGAGAGCTCCCAGCTTCCATGCCTCTGCACAGGCTGCTCCCACCACCTAGAATGTCCCTTTCTGCCTTGGAGAACTCCTACTCATCCTTGAAGACCAAATCAAATGTCACCACCACCATGCAGCCTTCCTCACCAACTCCAGGAAGAATGAATTATTCCTACCTTGGGCTCCCTGCATGCCCATCTATTCTAGAACTTTCCTTGACTGTAGCATGTGGCATGTCTGACTACTCTGCTCTATCCCGATTTCCTTATGGATCAGGATTATGTTTCATTTATTGTGGAACCCCCTTCAGGGCCTAGCAAAGTCCCTGGCTGAGGACAGGAGAGGCTATATTGTAGAATGATCAGGAGCTTGGGTTTTGGAGTCAGACAGACCTGGTTTCAAATCCTGGCTCAGCTACTACTACTGGCTCTAGAATCCAGAGCAAATCACTTTATCCTTCAGAACCTCAGATTATAGAAAATGGGTATAATCCCCAAAGTTCTTGGGAGGAGTGAGAAAAAACTATATAAAGCACCTAGCCCAGGGCCTGGCGGTAAGCTGTCAATAATATTTTTGTTTTTATTTAGGATTGTTAATAGTGGTAAAGTATTTAGAATTTTGTCTGATACATAGTAGATGATCAATAAATGGTAGCTATTGTGGCGGTTGTTATTATTATTATTATTATTATTATTAAAAAGATGCTTTTAGCAATTGCCTGGCTTGTACTAAGCACTCAATAAATGGCAAAGGTTATAATGATGCTGCTGATAATAATAATACATCATTCCATTAGCACAGTGCCTGGCATAGGAAGGACTTTACACATGGTGTCTGTTATATAATAAGCGTTTGCGAATGAAGGACCAGATGCGTAGATGGCTGGTGCCAGCCACGGTTCTGGTCTCTCCATCGGAGTCCTTCTCTTCACTGTATAGGATGCAGGGAAGGCCACGTGGACCTAGTTCTGCTCGTCGATGGCTCCAAGAGCGTGCGCCCGCAGAATTTCGAGCTGGTGAAGCGCTTTGTGAACCAGATCGTGGACTTCCTGGACGTGTCTCCTGAGGGCACGCGAATAGGGCTGGTGCAATTCTCGAGCCGGGTACGCACCGAGTTCCCGCTGGGCCGCTATGGCACTGCCGCGGAGGTGAAGCAGGCTGTCCTGGCCATAGAGTACATGGAGCGTGGTACCATGACTGGGCTGGCACTGCGCCACATGGTGGAACACAGCTTCTCCGAGGCGCAAGGCGCGCGGCCCCGTGTCCTCAACGTGCCTCGCGTGGGCCTGGTCTTCACCGACGGCCGCTCCCAGGATGACATCTCAGTATGGGCGGCGCGGGCCAAGGAGGAAGGTGGGCTTGGCGCGGGATGCACTGGCCTGGGGTTGGGTTGGAAGCAGGGAGTGGGTTGAAAGAGGCTTTCCTGAGGCCTAAGGCGCCCCATGTGTCCCTTGGCCGGGTAGGCATTGTCATGTACGCCGTGGGCGTGGGCAAGGCCGTGGAGGAGGAGCTGCGTGAGATCGCCTCGGAACCCGCGGAGCTGCATGTGTCCTACTCCCCCGACTTCAACACCATGACACACCTGCTGGAGAACCTCAAAGGCAGCATCTGCCCGGGTGAGCACATCTGTCTCAGGTCCCCTTCCCTTCTCTCATTGCCGACCCTCCCATATCTCCCCTTCCTATTCACCCCCACCCACTTCGCAGAGTTATAGCCTGGGGATGGACTCCCTAGACAGAACCTTGTTACTTAAAGTGTGGTCCGTGGACCAGCGGCAGGGTTGCAGCATTTCCCTACCCAATGAGTCAGATTTTGCACTTGAACAAGACCTACCCAATGAGTCAGATTTTGCACTTGAACAAGACCCTCAGGGGATTCGTATGTATATTAAAGATTAAGAAGCATTAAACTAGGCTATCTGTCTCCCAGATCAGTGGGTGTTCAGAATAATTTGGGGAAAATTTTTCAAAGGAATGCCAAACAGCATTTCTAAGTGGAGTCACATTATATATTCCATTAACTTGTTGGAATTCAACTTTACAAGCCTGGCAAAGTGGCAGGACTGAGTGTGATTCAAGTACACAGAGCTATGTATTATTTTTTCTTCTTCTAACAATGTAGCCCATAAATTCAATCCATCTACTTTGTCTGGTGCTCAGCTGAGAAAAAAGGGACCAATGCTATCTGTGGAGGAGAAATGGGCTGTTAAACGTGTGTACTGTACTTTATAGGTGATACAGGGGATTTCTCGGGGGTAACTTTTACTACAGAGTCTTTAGCCTCTAAGCCAGGCCTAAAATATGACTCTTCTTTCAGATTATCAGGCCCTACTTCTAGAATGAGGTTCAGTGGGCTGGGCCGGGCCTGGTGCATCTATACTTAAATAGATAAGTAAATAGAGAAATCTATATTTAAATAAACAAACAAGCACACACACATATATACATATGGTATCTCTATACATATGTGTATGTATATGCATATACAATATATATACAGGCACGCCCCCCCTCCAGGCTAATTCTAATAATTAGAATATTGTGGAGATACTGGATTAGCTGCTCCTTCAGGGCCCTTCCTATCCTGACTCTTATGTCCCCTACAGTGTGACTTTGAACAAGTCATTTAACGTTCACCCCTACCTTAACTTCCCTCTTCTATAAAGGGGAGGATGCTGGCTGCCCAAGGTTGCCTCTAGCTATAGAATTCTAAGAGAAATCGGCTCTGCGGTTGAAGCTTTTCACCAATTGACTGTATGGCCTTGGGCAGGGTCCTCCCGGCTCTCTGGACCTTGGGCCTCATCTGCAAAATCAGGAGACTTTGCAGGACTGTTATCAGTACCATTAATGACATGACATACAGCAGTTTGCTAAAGGTACACACAAGACTAAGAAATTACTTTTAAATCATAACAGCCAAGTGGCAGGCATTGTGCTGTCATATTAAACATGTGTACAGAATGTCAGTGAACCTAAGATGCCATCCGCTGTAAGAGTCACCATTGTTTTCTATACTGCGAAGAAAAAAACAGGTGCCAAATTTAATTGTAAGGCACTTATTTTGATTTCACAGATGTAGAACTGTGTGAAGAGAGAGAGAGACTTGGATCAGCGGTTCTTAAACGTTAGTGTGCTTCAGACTCATCTGGAGGGTTGGTTAAAACACAAAATGCTGGACTCCAACCCCAGAGTTTGTGATTCAGTAGGTGTGGGGTGGAGTCTGATAATTTGTATTTCTAGTAACTTTCCAGATGATGCTGATGCGTCTGGTCCAGGGGCCACACTTTGAGAAACACTGGTCTGGTTGAAATACACGATCGGGTATTTACTTGTGCCAGGCAGCGCTGTAGATCTGCTCTCTTCAACAAGGTGCTAAACTAATTACAATAAACATTTTAGTTCTTCCGTCACACTAGCCACATTTCAAGTGTTAAATAGCCACATATGGCTTGTGCTCATCATACTGGGCACAGCAGATACACAACGTTTTCATCACTGCATAAAATTTCACTTGGAGAGTGCTGCTGGGAACTCTTGCCACTCAAAGTGTGGCCCTCCGACCAGCAGCGTCAGCAGCACTTGGGAGCTTATTAGAAATGTACAGTGTCAGCTCCTTCTCCCTTCTGAATACAAATCTATTTTAACAAGATCTGGGATTCCAATGAGCATCAAGGTTTGATAACACTCTACACACACGCGCGCGCACACACACACGTTAGAATCCTCAGCACCACCCAATGAATAGGATTTCTCATTGTAACCATTTTTACAGACGAGGAAACTAAGGCTTAGAAAAGTTGAAAGAAGTTTTCAGTATCTCACAGCTACAGAGCTGGTACTCATCCCACGTCTGTCTGAATCCAAAGCCCATACACTTAACCATAGTCTGGGGAGAGGTACATCAGAGGGCCTTGGCCAGGGCCAGCTGGTCCTCCTGCAGATTTTCATTTCCCCACTGTCTGTGACCGGCTGGCAGAGGAGGGCATCAGCGCGGGGACAGAGCTTCGGAGTCCCTGCGAATGCGAAAGCCTGGTGGAGTTCCAGGGCCGAACGCTGGGGGCGCTCGAGAGTCTGACTCAGAACCATATCCTTTGGGGTTGGGGGCGCCGGCTGAAGGGAAGGGAAGGGGGTCCCGTGAAACCCAACAGCTTCCTTAACGTCTCACTCGCCCAGCTGATGGCGCGCTTGGAGGATCTGGAGAATCAGCTGGCCACTCATAAGTGAGGACCACCGTGGCGACTCGGACAGAGACGCAGACCCGCGGACTGTGCCCCCTTGTGCGCCGTTGGGAGCCGGGGGCGGGCTGAGCCTGGGCCCCTTCGGCTCCGGCTGTTGGGGACCAGGCGCTGGCGGGCTCCCAGCGCTGTGCTCGAGCTGGCCTCGCCTGGACCACAAGCCGGACTGCGGGGGACAGAGGGGACGTGTGCCAGGTCCGCACGCCCTTGCCGCGTGCTGCGCTCAGATCTTTCTTGGATTTCTTTTTTTGTTTTCTTTTTCTTAAAAAAAAAAAAAAATCTGGTTTCCACGGGGTCGGTTTGTGGGTCTTGCTGTGCCGCCAGGGGGAGGGGAGGCCAGACGGAGCGCGCTGCGGCGGCGCCCGGGCGGCGTCTCCTCTGAGAAAGGCGCATTGTGCGGGGGTCGGGCTGGGGGGCAGGGGACCGGGCACCGCTTCCCCCTCCTTGTTTATTCAGCCGAGAACAGACGGCTCCTTCTGCCGGCTGCGGGAAGAAAAGGGGCTTCACGGGAACCCTGGGGTCTGTGCAAGTCTGCACCCCTCCATCCCCCTGCGGATCTGACGCTTTGCTCTCTGGCCCTGCCTATCTCATGGTGCCCCCAAACCTGGCTGAAAAGCTGCTAGAACTGGGTGGGGGAGTTGGTGAGGAAGCGGGAGGCAGTAATTGAACCCCTAAATGGACAGGGTGGGGGCAGATAGATGAGTTTCACCTGGATTTTATCTGCCTTCTACACTAGGTAGGAAGAAAAGTATCAGTCAGGACCTGTGCCCCACTCTCTGCCCCCCCCCCCCCCCCCCCCGCTCCCTCCAAAAAACAAAAACTAAAAGCTAAAAAACCATCCCCTATGGGTAAAGAGCACAATCTGGTAACCATTCCCCAAGTGCATGTAAGAAAATACAAAGATTAAAATGCTTCCAGTCATAGAGTAACTGGGGAAAATTACTCTGGGTTTGTTTCCATCTCTGTAAAACGGGGATTGAAATTGTTACCCCAAGAGTGATGGTGAGAATTATTCTAAAGCATCTGACATTGTGCCTGGTCCATCTGAGGCCCTCAATTAATGGTAGCTGTTAATCATTATAAAAATAGCTAATATATTTACTCTTGGGTATTACTCTAAGTGATTTGCAGGCATTTTCATGTTATCCTCTCAACAACCTGGTGAGGGAGGAATTATTGCCCTTATCATCCCATGTTACAGACCTTCCAGCCAAGCCTTAACCTGTGGCCGGAATTTCTGCAGGTGGCCACGGGGTTTTTCACAGGTGACTGAAGCGGGAACATGGGTGTTCAGGAGTGACTGGAGTATGGGGGGACAGGATGATTGAAATCTTACCTGGACTTGAGGGTCAGATGAGCTCAGGTGCTAATAAGCACAGTACCTGGCTTATGACTTCATCTGCCCAGCCGCTTTATTTTACAGTCGGGAAACCAAGGCCTAGAGGGCAGAGCTGCAGGCCCAAGGTCACACAGTGAGAGAACCCCAGCTGGAACAGGCAGTAGCGGGGAGGAGAGGTAGGGGGGAGATTCTGATTGGAATGGGGTTCTGAACTGATGGTGGGGCACCTGAGGGCAAAGGTGAGGTTCCCTCTCTGCCTCCTCCCTGGCGCGGACCGGGACAACTTTATCTAGGGTTTCTTTTCTCATCTGCTGTTTTCTCCTGCAATATCCCTAATGGCCACTGGAGGGCGCCTGGAGCTCTGATTTGGAGTTGGGTCCCAGTCCTTTCAGGCACTTGGCATCTGGCACTTGGACACATGAGCCAGGGCTGTTCTTCTCCATCAGGCTCTCCTCCCCCTTCTCACCCCTCCATCCCCACTCTGGCAGACCCCACCACCTCATGCTAGTAGCTACTACTGTTCCTTAGGTATTGAGCACAGGCTCCTGGCTTTGCAGACCAGCCCTACGGCTTCCCAGCTGTGTGTGTTGACAGGTGCTGGTTCCCTTGCCCATCCCTCAGTTCCCTTTATTTCATTTCCCTTTCCTCTTACCCCCTTTTCCTTCTTGGATAGGAAAGAATGTCCCACATATCTGGGTAGCTAGCCCTTGCTTCTTTGTTTACACCCCCTCCTACTTCAAAGGATAGAAGACTTTCAAAGGACTCATCGGTTCAGAAAAACAAACATCCATTAACCCAAGAACAGAAAGAATCCAAGTAACAGTGGGGGTAGAGTGACATCGCCAAGAAAGAGAGAGGGCAACAGAGCCGGAGCAGACACTGGGCCTGGGCCTCCTGATGTCCAGAACCTGATGAGACTGGTCACAGAGCACGTACATTTTGGGGGGGCTCTTGAGCTCAGCTCTCCTGGGGGGAACACAGCACCCTCAGCACGCTTGTTCCCTGGCGATTTGAATATTTAAAAGGCCAGTGTCTTCCGCAGTGGTTGGCAGAGTTTTCACTCATGGAGCTGTTTCTTCGACTTGGTAACGTGTGCTAGACATGTTCCCCGGCGGAAAACCCAGGACAGGAAGGGCCTGCAACCTCAGCCAGTCACCCTGACTCCCTTTCCGAATTTCACCCGTGTTCTCTGGCTTTCTGTTTCTCCATGTTTTTGGCCTTTCTATCCTTATATTCTGCAATTGTTCACAGCTCTTTTCAGTTTCTTCAGCTGGCACAGCTGCTGTCTCCAAGGGTTATCGACTCTCCTCCTGGTTCTTTGGACTTATAATGGTAAGAAAAGGGAGAAAAGCAAACCATCAATTACGAAACACCTACAGCGTGCCAGGAACTATGGTATGCCTCACACCCTCATTGTCTTGTTTAAACCCCTCAACCTATAGAAGGGAAAACCATGTTTCAAAGAGACCCGTTGCTCACAGCCACAAAGCTTCAAAACTAGGATTCGAACCCAGGTGTCACCGATCCCAGAGTATGTCCCGTTCACGCTCCTACCCTTCAGTTCATCAGGGACAAATTGGGATTTTTACTAGGAAATTTAAGGGGCAGGCAAAAGCAAAGTCCAAGGTTTGGAAGAGATGAGGGGGCAGAGCGCTGGTTCTTCCTTCAGGGGTAGCTCAAGCACATTTAAAACTCCCGGTCCGTGAGCCACTGTTTCTTTCTGCTCTTCATCTGGCCCTGGGCTGTCCTGTCCCCACCCCACCCCACCCCACCCCACCCCACCCTTCGCTCTGCCCTCTCCCAGGCCCAAGGTGATTTTTTTTCCTGAAGTGGAGAATATATACCATCTGTGGCTCACCTGAGTGTCTCATCCCCAGGGAAGTGCATGGGGGCGAAGCGTCCCAGCAGCTGAGGTGGGTGGGGGTGGGGATGAATGAAGCAGGCAGATAAAGGTAACAATGCCATCACTACAATACGCATATGATAGTCCAGGTCCATTTTCTTCCACGTGAACAAGGAAACCTCAGGGTGTCCTCCATCCCCTGCTAGAGAGCACCTATCCCTAACCTTGGCAGATGCTCAAAAATGCCTGCCCAGTGAGTATTTCTTGAATGTCTATTTTGGAGATATTTTAAGTATTGTGCTATATAGACACTGGGGTTACGATGGTGAAAAAGAGAATCATACTCTCTGTCTTCAACTTACATTCTAGGAGGGGAAGGCAGACAGCAAACAAGCAAGTAAATAAGGTTCCGGGTAGTGATAAATACTAGGAAGTTGATAAAATCGAGTATAGTGCTCTATTAAGAGAGCAGTGCTATCCAACAGGATTTCTGTAATGACAGGAACGTCTACATCTGCGTTTCCCAAAACAGCAGCCAGCATGTGGCTACTGGGCACTTGAAAGGTGGCTAATGCGATCGAGGAACTGAATGTAAAATATTATTTTAATTAATTAATTGACTAATTTAATTAATTGTGAAAAAGTTCCATGTGGCTTGCTGGCTACTGTACCGGACAGCGTCCGTGTTGAGAGTACCTGGAGAGGGGAGAGGTGATGACTTCGGATGGAGTGGTCAGGGGAGACCCTTTCAGGAGGTGATATTTGAGCTGAGGGTCTGAATGAGAAGGTGTCACACAGCTTTCCAGAGTTCCAAGGAGAGAGAGTGCGAACGCAGGGCCGGTGACGGGTGGAAACTCGCTGGCTCGGTGATTCCACGGTGGGCAGAAGGCCTGTGAGGCTGGGATTTAGTGAGTGGGGTGGCACGGCGGGAGCTGGTGGCAGATGGAAAGGGTGCAGAGGGCAGATAATTGGGGCTTTGCAGGCTGCTGGGTTTGCCCCTCTCCTGCCTCTTGGCTGCCTTAGCAATGAAGTGGGTGTAGCTGCCCCTCCCTGGCCTGTCCCCTTCTCTCTCAGGACAGCGGGGGAGGATCGGGTGAGACTAGGTGATGATCAAATGCTTCATACATTCAAAATGCTGCCCATTAGAGAAGGGCAGAGCAGTGGTACTGAGTGAGGTCCGGGACCAGCTGCCTCAGCGTCACCTTGGAACCTGTCGGGAATGCACGTGCTCAGCGGCACCCCTCCACCCCCACCCCCTCAGCTCTCAGCTTCACAGCTCTGGGGGTGGAGCCCCGTGATTTGTGTTTTCACAGGCCCTCCAGGTGGTGGTGATGCACACCCAAGTTTGAGAGCAACTGTGGAAGACTAATGACATTCACCTGCTCTTCTTTGTTCTCATTCGCAGCCCCCCACAAGTGCCCGCCCCCCTCACCCCGACAGCTCTTTGATGGCAGGCGGGAAGGTGTCAATGTTCACTGTCCTCCCTAGCTCTCCTCCCCCCAGGACAGGTTCAGTTTTTAGCTCCACATACATAAATCTTTTTAAAAACCTGATAAATAAAACCTTTGTATTAGAATTCTTTTTTATAAAAGCAATTCACACTCACGGTTAAAATACCACTCAAATAAAGCAGAGGGTATCAAGTGAAAAAAAACAAAATCCCCTGGCTCTCCTAATCCCATTCCCCAGAGGTAACCATTGAACCATGGTTTCTTGTGATTCTTTCCAGACCTTTCCATGGTGCTTATAGAGGCAGAGGCAGCTAGTGCAGTGCTCTGAAGCCAGCTCGCTTGGGTTCAAATTCCAGGCTTGCTTCTTATTTGCCGAATAAGTTGGACAGGTCACCTCAGTTTCCTCACCTGTAAAATGAGGTTAATAGTAGCACTGACCTCACAGAATTGTTGTGAGAATTAGATAAATGAATTCAAGTAAAGCAGTCGGTGCTTGGCATGGGGGGAGCGCTGTGTAAGCATTAGTGATTTCAGTTTGTATTTTTATAATTTTCTTTTTAAAAAAAATGGAAGCATACTCTACACATTACATGAAGCTTGTTCTTTTCGCTTATTGCTCTATCGGGGAGATATTTTTCCTATGGCCGGACATG